CGTCTGTAAGGTTTACTGTGAGCTGAGTGAGTGCTTGATCTTGTGTGAGAGAGTGGAGGCAAGAATTTGAGAAGAGGCTTTCTACTCAGAATGTGGTTTTGCCTCTTTTTCCCACACGCTGTGCTCGTGGCACCGGAGCTCGTGTTGCCTCTACTGCTTTGCTTTTTTGCTTATGCTTAGAAGGAGATGTGGCGTTTCCTGCAAAACAGCTGCTAGTATTCCCTGGTGACCCGTCAGAGAGGATCCAGTGGAATTACAGATTCAAAAGCAGACCTAGAGGACTTTGGCAGCTCAGCAGAGGTTTTGGGGAAAGGTAGGGGGTTGCATTGTGTAGGATGCAGGACGGAGGGTTAGAAATGGAGTGCAAGGGCATGGGAGAGAAGTTCTGGAGGTTCAGGGGCTGTTAAGTCTCCAACAACATAAGGACTTCGCATCTAGCAAACAATTCAGATTTGGCTGAGAAAGTTGGACTATATCCATGTTTCCATAGGACGTGGAGAATCTCCTGGAATAATTTAAGATCGTTCGCAATGCTACTGATGCAGAGTTTGTACTGCGCATTAGGACGATATGTAGTTGGGCTTTTAGACTCATGCAACTATCTAGGAAAAATAACAGATACTGACATGAAATTGATTCTTTAGAAAGTGCAGTTAGTTCAGTGAGAGAGCGTTAAACTTTCCTCTGAGATTAATGTCATTAATACATTAACTGTTTGACAGCAGAAATCACATGTTGCTTGTCACTTGCTGCAGTGGCTGCGCTGAGACAGCTGAGAGGTTGCAAAAGGATTAATGCGGTAAAGAGGATTGTAACTTTGATTGTGTTCTCTCTGCTCCTGGATTTGACAGCAACTGGTATTTAGAAACAAAACAGAATATGTGTTGTTATTTGTGTGGAGTGTAAACATCCATTTGGAAGTATTTAAATTAATTGGAAAAGTTCTTTTTCATGTTTTAAACTTGACCACTCATTCATGGCATTGCAGGCTTCTGCAGAAACTGAAACGCATGTAGAATTTAGGTTAGTATCTTTTGAGTGACAACTGGTTTTCTAGTTGCCTTGCAGGATTTTTTCATTTTTTAGGGGCAAAAATTTTCATTCTACTTTAGGTTCATTTATGTCCAGTGACTGTGCCACTTCTGTATGTAAACAGGGACAGCCATGTCCACATTTGTGTGCGTATGAGTTCACCTGCCCTGCTAGATCTAATCTGTCTGCAGATGAACTGCAAACGAGCGTAGAAATTTTTACACAGATGGCTGGTTGTTGCCTGAATGTGTTAGTATGTGAATATCAGGTTTTATAGCAACTATTTGGTGTGCAAATGTCTTTTGTTCACAGATTAATTTATTACATAGGCTGTATAATAGCAGATTTCTATATTGTTTGTAATTACTTATACATATATGTAAAATATGAATAGACAAATTAGTAGAAACTTTTAAAAAACAGATGTGACCAGGAAACTCAGTTTGATAGAGGAGCACCGCCACCCTGGTTTAAGCAGTTGATTTTGACAGCTGACAGCCTTCTTGCCTTATTATATATTCCCGTTATTTCTCTGAAACTTATTACCAATATCTAAGGCTGATTCACTACCACACACGTAGTAAGGAAGGAGGAAGTAAGAGGCAACCTAATAGCTCTTGAGAAGGAATATACCAATGTTTTAGTTACGATTTATGCCCCCACTGTCAAGATTTGTCTTTGAGGTTTCACGCCTTCGGCAAGTCCAGCCTCCTGTGGCCGTGCTTGCCCACTTAAACAGGAGTTTTCTGCCCCACTGGAGGGACTTACTCTTTCAGCTCTCCACTGTGGCCCTACCTGCAAGGTGTTGCTGCTGCGTTCTCCTGCTGACACTAAAGTGATGTTCGCTTACATGAGCAAATGTGCAGGTTTTCCCTGTCCGAGCAGCATCTGAGAACACTGACAGTTGTGTGACACTGGCTATTTACATTCTTCCTCCTGTATGACTTTACAGTGGTGATAATTTCCATTTTGCTTCTAGGAAATTTCAAGAGAAGCTGGGTAATGCTGATAATTCTCAAATATGTGTCAGAGTCTGTCTAAAACATGGAGGACTTTACGTGGCATGGTTTGGGGGCAGAGGGAGATTTGAGGAGGTAATAGCAGTTGGTTCTGGTCACAAGAGTGACCACTAATCTTAACACACTCAGATAAAATAAGTAATCTTGTCATCTTTTCCTTCCCAATCTTTTAAGTAAACATTTCTTTAAAATAGTGGGATGCACTTTATTATATTGTCATGACACAACAATGCGTCTTAACTCATTTTCTGTTTCATAGTAAAAAATCCGAAGTTAATGTACTGGTTTGCTCTTGGGAATTAATAAGTTGAGAAAGTTGTCTAGGGAAAAGCACCAAATGTTTAGCTTGACTAAAAATTCAGTGTAAAGAGACTGTTAAAAAATAACTTGCTATGGCATGTGATACTTAGATGACTTAAATGTAATTTTAGATGGTCAGTATCTTGAATGTCCGTCTTTCCGGAAGATTAATTTTAATAACAGAGTAGCGTATTTCACTTCCAAATATATCCATAGGGATGATATCGAAGACACAGTTTATTGGAAGGCAGTCAGTCTTGAGAAAACCAGTAGCGGTGGTAAAGATTGGAGTAATTAATCCTGAATTTATATAATTTGTCTACAGAATTATATTTTTTTCCCAAGTTTCACTTTATATACAGCTTGGTTTTGTTGGTTACATAGCAGTTCCTTTCATCAGCCCTCAAGTCATTAATGGGAAACTTGCAAATTTTTATTAAGCTAATTTAAATTGATTAAGTAGTTGCTGAGAAGATTGGTGAATCTTGAAACAATAACTATTATTAATGAAATAAATATGCTGTGAATGGAACTCTGCATTTCAGAGGCAGATGTGTATGTAGCTTAAATGGTTTTTGCCACAAATGTGGGGTGAAATGAATGTAAACGAAGTATGTCCTGCAGAGGACTTTTAAAGGCAGCGGCTGCACACTGAGGTGTGTGGCGTGGTGAAAACCAGCAAATGACAGTTGGCATTTGAGGTGTAAGGGGAGCTCGTGTTTTTTAAAAAATATTTCTTTATGTATTTAAAAAATACTTATTTATGTATTTAAATGAAAAAAAAAATTTTTTAAAAAAATAAGATTATTAGTCTTCAATTGCAGGAGAATCTGGAGGGAATTAGCATTTGTAATTAAAGCTGTGAATATGAAGATAGGGAAGTGCTTGATCTTTAATAGAAAATGCCTTTATGTAGTCATTGGAGATATAATAGAAACAGTTTGGAATATTCTTTAATTTTTTTTTTTTTTTTTTTTTAGCTTTTATCTTTATTCTTGAGGTATTCGCCTATTGCAAATTAATCATGGATGAATCCTTCTGCTACTGGCAAGTTTTTACTTGTGAGGATGCCAGACAAATTGTTGTGTTTTGATTCTCTGTGGGAAAATTTTTCTTAGTTACCCTTGAAATATCAAACTAGGGAGCACGGGGTTGATGATGTAAATACAACCCCTCCCTTGCAGTAGCAGGTCGCTGTTGCCTTCTCACCCTGCTCTTGGCTGATGGAGCGATGCTGCGCAAGCTAAAGGAGCAGCACCCACTTGGATTCTTCAAGTGAAGCGCTGAAGGCTTTAGATGAGGAAAAATTGCTGCGTGTTGGAGGAGAAACTCCAGCTCCTCCAGAGTTCTCGGTCTATAATTATATTACGCTTGCTACGTTTGGTTACTCTGTCAGCAATGGGGGTACCTGCCTGATCCCCGCCATGGAGGCTCTTGGTGCCGGAGTGCCGGCAAGCCGGAGTCAGCTGCTGCCCAGCACGGCCCTGCTGACTGGAAAATTCCTCTTCCCCATCCCGCCTGTGCCGCCCGCTGCCTCTGGCTGGGGAGCACCGGGGGTGACGGTGTTGGGGAAGGGGTGTTCCTGCAAATGGGGGGACAGGACTGTTAAGGATTTATAGCACCTCTCAGCAAAAAACAACTCCTGTCTCGTAATATTTTGTAGTCGTGCTTGAGCTCGCAGCACCAGGCCTGCAGCACGCTGTGATCCAGCTGGCTGGCCAAGCACAAGCACTTCTGCCCTGGAGAAGTATATAATTTGTAAAGAATTACCAAATATCTTCTTAAAACAGTCTTTTTATTTACCAGTATCAGGGGTAAGACACTTTAAAAAAAAAAAAAAAAAACAAAACACCAGTAATAATAATAACTAAGCCCAAACAGTTTTACTGAAGCCTGTCTGTCCTGAAGCCTGTTCTCCGGCTGTGGGGTCAGCAAGGCCTGGCTTTTTGCAGTGCTTAAGAGGTCTCTCGTGTGAGCGTGAACAGTGCTTACACAAGGGCCGGACCTCTAGATGCAATGTTTGTAACTGATACATGAACTTCCTGCTTTTTTACACTTGCCGTTTACTCTGTGTGGAAAAAAAAATAAGCTTTTACCATGATTGGTGAACCAGGCAGAGCCTCCCTCTCTGGAGGGGCTGGGAGCAGTAGATCTTCTGCTACTTTTCCGTCTTCTGCTTGTTTTCCTTATAGCTTCCCATTAAAGTCAAAATGGGATAGTCATAAAGTAAACTGTCCAATAACCGGGTCACGTGAATTCTTCATAAACCATTATAGAAGCAATGTCACATCTGTCAGTATTTCACCTAAGTCATCTGAGCTGGTGTTAGTTACATACTCTCCTCTCTTTACATGAAAGAGCTGGGACACCGCTTAAAAAACGATTTGAGATTTCTTGGTGAAAATTTCTGGTAGATTATTAGCATTTTACTATGTTTGCATTTTTCAGAGCACTTCATGGAGTTGATTTTGTTTAACTATCATTTGGCTTGATTACATTGACAACAGTAATGAACTAGTGTGCTTCAGAGTGATGAAATCATTGTAACTAGCATGGAGAGGAACAATTTCCTCTTCCCTGACATTTTTTTTTTTTTTTTTAGCCTATGAATGCTGTGAAACTATGAAGTTTATTATTTTTCCATTACAGAACGAAGACACGGTTCAATGTGTAAACCCTCCCCTTCTCCAGCTTCTCCAGCCTGCAATTCCAGGACATCCCTAGTACAGATGAAACCGAAATCCTGTATCAGCGGCCATAACCCTGTCAGCAGCAACTCAAAGCCATTCAAAACGCCCAAAGACAATCTACTTACCTCCAGTAGCAAACAGCACACAGTCTTTCCTTCAAAAGTATCACGGGATAAACCATGGTAAGTACCAAAATAATAGTTACCAAAGATGTTGGTGTTCAAAAAATAGTAAGTATCTCTATGCATGATTTACAATCATTAAAAAAAAAAAATATTCTCATCTTATCTAAGTTTACAGCTTAAGCCTCTGCATTTCCTAAGGGAGGAAACTGGTGTGTTTTTAAATGAAAAAATATATATATAAAGGAAAACCAAAAAGGACTGGATTGCTTTTCTGATGTTCCATCAAATGTTTGCTTTTCTTAGATGCATGTAACAAGTGAGATTTTGACCCAGTTTGCTGTCTTTAAGGTCCATCTTCCATTACAGTGTCAGCCCTTAAAACTGATGCTTTTAAACAATAGGGTAATTTCTGCAGAGTTCTTAATATTGGCTTAACTGATGTTCATGAAACTTACTGGTCATAGTCATTTATCTTTAACAGCAGCTGCTGTTGGAGTTCATTCTGTATTTTGATAATGTTTGATGGCTTGTAAGAAGACAGAAGAAAATTCCGGCTGCAAAAATCACTATTTTGGGGGCATCTTACATCATGTACTGTGATATATGTACAAATATAGGCTTTGAGACTGCCAGGCCCATCCTCCCGTGACTGTGATGTTAGTGGCAGAGTTGCAAAAATGTAGATGAAAGCAGAACTGGGTCACTATTTTATCCCATAAATAACTGTTTTGTCTTTAGTTATCTACAGAAAATATGCTTTGTGATTAGGTCACTAGGTTGGTGACTTGAGATCTGGGTTCCGTTCCTGGTTCTGCACAGGCTACTATTGCGCCTTAGTTTCCTCGGCCTCAGTTCTGCGTCTGTAAGCTTGAGATAGTAAGACTTCCTTTTTCATAAGTTTTATCTACTAACTGTGTAAAGATCCTTCCTTTTTATATGTAATATTGAACATAAGGTCTTGATTTTAGGTAGGGTTTCTGGACACAAGTGCCTTAAAGCAGTAAATAATCTAATATAAACCACTCGCTCATGACACAAAACGTAAACTCAAATTACGTTAAAGTAATAGCTCATGTTTTCTGCCCAAAATGTGCACTAGCTGGTATGATTTCAAAGAGAGCAGCTTCTGCTTAGCTGTAGAATTTACCTTGCACTGGAACAAACGTGATCAAAGTCTAATCTTCCTATAAATCTGAACCCACCATCTCTATAAGCATGATGTGCATCTGGACAATTATGGTATATAATTCTGAAAACAGAAAATCTGGATGTTTAGCTTGCACGTGCACGCACACACAGATGAGACAGGTTATTCTAGTTAAGGTGTAAGTGCCTTCTTTACTGTTTAAAAAAAAAGTATTCTTGACTGAATAGTGACCATTTCTTCTGAATGTTGGAGAGGAATTTTATACAAGACAGGATTGGGTTTTTTTGAAGTCTAGAACAGAATCAGAAAGGACTTCAGAATATTAACACTATTGACTATAAACCTGTTTCTCATCTTGGTGTTGCAGACAGCGACTTCCATCTCCACATTTCAGCATACTAACTGAATCTATAAACAATATCTTCCGTTCTGGCAACAGATGGCATTCTGTCAGTCAGTAAAAGCTGGAAGGGAACAAAATATCTGAGACATTTCCACCAATCCCTTTTCCCTTTATTGGGAACATCCCAAACATTGACTGATGATTAACAAGGTAGATTTAGCCGTTTAAAACTGTTGTACTGCTCTGTTAATACTTTGCCAACGAATATGTCAGTAGTTGTACCTGTGAATTACCCAATTCTTGCAGCACTACTGGGAGATAATACTGTGGTTTTGTTTACCAGTAGGGAAAAACGAGGCATGTAGTAGTTAACAATATTGTAATCATCACATAACAAATCACAAACAGTCTGAAGCGGAGATCAGTGAAATTGTCTTTCAAAATTTAGCGTTAAGTGCCTTAGATTACATGACTTGTTAAAGAAGAAAATAAGTCTGATAATCATCACAGGTTATAGAGAGCTGACAGCTGTTACGGAAGAAAGTGTTTGTTCCTATTTCATTAGTGAATTATAATTTTTATTTAGAATTCTAGAAAATATTCAGCAAGTCTGATTTTCTTAAAGGATAAATTATTCATAAAAATTATTCTTTTTTTTAAGATAAGATCATATCTTCCATTCAGCTGTCTGTACAAGCCGTAGAATTTCACCCACTTATGTTTTGGAAAGAAATACTCAATCAACACAAATACATTTGTCTCAAAACTGCAAATAGGATTCATCTTGTATCCAAGCATGTTGTGGTTTATCACCTTCAAAAGCTCCAGTTATTCAGTGCTTGTGTCTGTTATGTGGTAGTCTCGTACCACAAATAGTTACTTGACATGGGTTCTCCCAGACAGTTACCAAATTAGCTTAATTCAGGAATTGTATCACTTGTAATGATTGCTTTCCAGACCTGGAATAACCTTTGTTTTGCTTGCCTGATTCGTTCATACAGCATCTCTTTTAAATTTTAGCTGTTATAATTAGTAGTAGTATTTCAGCAACGGCCTCTGCAACAGCATGGCCCAGTAGATCTGTCTGTTGTCATGCCCTCCTGCGTGTAGACCCAACTCGTCTATTGTTAATTCATTATAGTTTTGGTTGTGTGATCATCTTAAACATTGACTGAGTAGCTCCTTTTCGTCTTCACATCCTGTGTCATTCAAAGATGCGCTGCAGAAGTTCAGGTTGCTCCTTGGCTAGCGTTTTAAAAGCATGATCAGCATGATCAGAAGAAAGAGATCTGGAATTGTTTCATTTTTGTAGCCACTGCTTTATTACTTCCCTTCTTGTAGTTGGAATATGAAAGATTATTGTAAATACATCATCCAGAAATATCTGTCAGCTCTGTTTTTTTTTTCCCCTGTATCTCTCTAACATCATTGCTATTAATAAAGCAGTGCTTAGAGACTGGAGCAGTGCTGGAGCACCACTGCGCTGTGCACAAGATAGATGTAAACCATCATGTTCTGAAGCTTGCAGTTGAGGTGGTAAGAGGTATAGCAAAAAGGTAGACAATAGAGAGAAAAAGGCAAAGAGTAAGATGATTGTTAGTAATAACAATAATAATGAACAAGCGATC